ACTAATTTACTTCTCTAGAACCAATTGTAATGTAACTTTCATTTCTAAAATGTAGTCATTTGAATCTTCTCTATTTTTTTCTTAAGTCACCTGGCTAAAGATTTGTCATTTTTGATGATGTTTTCAAAGAACCTACTTAGTTTTGATACTGTTTTTCTATTCTCTATTTCATCTCTGCGCTAATCTTTATGTTTACTTTCTTCTGCTAGCTTTGGTTTAGTTTGTTCTTTGTTTTCTAGTTCCTTAAGCTGTAAAATTAAGCTGTTGTTTTGACATCTTTCTTGTTTTTTTACTGTAAGCATTTATAAATATAAATTTCTTTTTTATTATTGCTATATCTGCATCCTGTCAATTGTCTTTCATATGGTGTGTTTTCATTTTCGTTACTCTTTAAGTAATTTTCTAATTTCCTTTGAGATTTCTTTTTTGATCCATTAGTTTTTAAAGAATGTTGGTTTACACAAATGTGTGAATTTTTTCTTTTTAAGTTACTGATTTCTGACTTCATCCCTATTTAGTTAGAGAAGATACTTTGTATGATAATTTCTACTTAAATCTGTTGAGACTTAATTGGCAGCCTAATATATGGTTTGTCCTGGAAAATGTCCCATATGTACTTGAGAAGAGTGTGTATGTTGCTGTTTTGGGGTAGAGTGTTCTGTTTATGTCTGTTGTTAGATCTAAGTTGGTTGATTGTGTTAAGTCTTCTCTTCCCTTATTTCTGTCTGGTTGTTCTATCAATTATTCAGAGTAGGCTATTGAAGTCTTCAACTATTGTAGAACTGCATATTTTTGCCTTAAATTTTGTCGGTTTTTGCTTCATATATTTTGATAGTCTGTAATTAGGTTTATAAATGTTTGTAATGGTTATATCTTCTTACTATATTGAGCCTTTTATTAATACGTAATGTCCTTTGTCTCTTGTAATCATTTTTGATTTAAATTCGATTTTTTCCTGATATTAGTATAGCTACCTCTGCTCTTTTTTTGCTACTACTTGCAGGAAATATATTGTTACAGCCTTTTACTTTCACTCTGTTTTTGCCTTTGAATCGATTTGTGCTTTTGTGGACAGCATATAATTGGATCATTAATTTTTATTTATTCTTCTAGTCCCCAACCAATCTTTTGGTTGGAGAGTTTTTTCTTTTTAAGTTACTGATTTCTGACTTCATCATTTTTTTTGCACCCCATACTTTACATTACTGTATTATTTTGTGTTTAGTTGTCTTTTTATAATGAAATGTTTAAATTCCTTTCTCATTTCCCAATGGTATACATTCTGAAACATTTTTCTTTGTGCTTATCATAGGAATTATATTTTACATTCTAAAGTTTTAACTCTCTAACTTGAATTTATATCAGTTTAACTTCAATAAAATACAAAACATTCACTCCTTTAATGGCTCTGTCTCTACCATTTCTGGTTGTTGATATCACAAAATTACATCTTTATACACTGTGTGCTCAAAAATATGAACTAATAATTCTTTTAAATGCATTAGCTTCTTATGTAGAAAACAAGGTGATTTACATATCAAAGTTAGCAGTAATACTAGCTTTTAGACTAAGAATTGTGTTTTAAAAATCTTTTAATGTCTTAAATTATGTAGAAAACGAAAGTTACAGTTAGAAATCATTGTCTTGTTACAATACTCCTAATTTTTATAATTGCCTAAGCATTTATCTTTATTGAGATATTTATTTCTTCATATGCCTTGTAGTTACTGTCCAGTGTCCTTTCATTTTTAACATGCAGGACTTTCTAAAGCATCTCTTGCATGACAGTCTTGATGGTACTGAAATCCTGTAGCTTTTGTTAATCCTGTAGCAGTTTTGTTTCTTTGTTTTTAGCATTTTGAATTAATCCACTGCCTTCTGGCCTCTGAAGTTTCTGATGAGAAATCTGTGGATAATCTTATTGAGGATCTTGTATGTGATGAGTTACTCCTCTCACTACTTTTAAGATTCTCTCTGTCTTTTGAAAGTTTGATTCTAATGTGTCATGGTATAGGTCTCTTTGAGTTCCTCTCACTTGGAGTTTGTTGAGCTTTTTGGATGTTTATATTCATGTCTTTCATCAAATTTGAGATGCTTTCTGTTCTTATTTCTTTAAATATTCTCTGCTCTTTTCTCTCTCTCTTCTTTCAGAACTCCCAGAATATCTAAGTTAGTGCATTTGATTGTATCCTGTGGGCTCTGTTCACTTCTCTTCAATCTTTTTTCATTCTGTTCTTCAGATGATAATTTTTGTTGTCCTATCTTGATGTTTGCTAATTCTTTTCTTCTCCCTGCTCATATCTGCCTTTGAATCTCTCTAGTGAATCTTTCATTCCAGGTATACTTTTCAGCCCAATAATTTCTTACTCATTTTTTAAATTAGTTTTTATATCTCTTTATTGATACTGCCAGTTTGTTTGTACATCATTTTTTTCTTGACTTTCTCTATATTTTTTGTTAGTTATTTGAGCTTAAGACAAGTTATTTTTAAAAGATATTTTTTCTTTTTTTTTTTCTTGAGACAGAGTTTCGCTCTTGTTACCCAGGCTGGAGTGCAATGGCGCGATCTCGGCTCACCGCAACTTCCACCTCCTGGGTTCAAGCAATTCTCCTGCTTTAGCCTCCCAAGTAGCTAGGACTACAGGCACATGCCACCATGCCCAGCTAATTTTTTGTATTTTTAGTAGAGACGGGGTTTCACCATGTTGACCAGGATGGTCTCGATCTCTTGACCTTGTGATCCACCCGCCTCAGCCTCCCAAAGTGCTTTTCTTAATATATCTACCATTAAGTCTTTTTCAGGGACAGTTTCTATTGATTTATTTTTTCTTTGAATGGGCCACATTTTCCCCTCTATTTGTATGCTTTGTGATTTTGTTGTTGTTGTTGTTGAAAACCAGGCATTTCAGTTTAATGATGTGATGACTCTGGAAATCAGATTGTTTCTGTTTTCCAGGATTTGCTGGGTTTTGATGTTGTTATTGTTTTGTTTTTTAAATTATTGTTGGCAGTGTCTATTCTAAGGATCAGCCTGGGTGTTAATTTAAGATCTCCTCAAATTAAGCTTTTCTAGGCCTGCATCTTTACATGAGTATGCATGGTCACTTTATAATTTTTTCAATACATGCATTTGTTTTTGAATGTCTTAGTCCTAATGTTTGCCTTTAAAAAGGGGAGCAAGAGAAAAATGAAGGCAGTTGAGGGGAAGACTGCTGGCTCTTTAAATTCCCTGAAATTTACATCAGCAAGAGTGGGAGGGGCTTGAAAAATTGGAGGAGGTGCAAGAACAATGGTCATCCACCTCTTTGTACCTCTGTGATTAGAGGAAGTAATCAGCTATCAGAGCTTAGATTCCTGACACTTGGCAGGCGGGTCCTTTTTGCTCACCCTGTCCCCCACCAGGTGCGTGCAAGCTACTCCAGGAACAGGTACAGGGATGTCTGCCACAGTGCCGGGTAGCTATGGTAGTAAGAGCTATAATTGACTGAAGTTAACCACAATTTACCATCCAAGACTTCCCTTGGAAGTTGCAAGCTTTCCATAGACTCCAGAGTTAGAAAATAGTTATTCCGGACAGATACTGCCAGTGCAGTTGTGTAGGTCGGGAGATTCCTGGTGCTTCCTACTCTGCAGTCTTCCCAGAATTCTCCTTAAGTGCATTTTGTAAGTTGGGAACCCCCAAGATAGGGACTGAGGAGAATGGCCTACAGTGGATTTCACATCATCTGAAGTATAAGTTTTAGAGACTTTATGTAGCAGTTACAAGAACTCATTACATATACTGGGATGTTTTCTTTCTTCCCTGGTAGATTTCAGTACCATTACAGTAGTGCTGACTAACTTAGAATGGCTTGTAGTCTAATTGAGTTTAAATCTACTAAGGAAGAATGTATTCATTCTTTCAGGATATTGCATATTTTAAAAATTTCCCATTTTTTTTGAGGGATGAAGGACAGAGGTGGATGGGGAAAACTTTTGACTATTAGGCTCCATCTTCAGGCTTATACTGAATTTTGCTTTTGCATATCTTAATCCAGCCATATGTAAAACGAGGCAGTTACTTTTAAGCCAGAGATTTGTAAACTCCGGTTTTTATGGCAGTTGTGAAACCGGGGATTCCTATGTGAAGTTTTGCATATATATACATTCTTTGGAGATCCAGGCCTATTGCTTTCGGGAGATAATGGAGATCTCCTATCACCAGTTCTTCCCTCTCCCCAACTTGCCACAGGGATTAAAAACCAAAGTTTTGGCTATTCCATTTCAATGTCAAATTGTTTGAGTGATGCTATATTCTAAAGATCTACAGAGGCTTTTGACATATAATATTACTTCTCAGAAAACTTTCATGGATTATTAGCAAGATCTGTCTCCTATAGAGAATGATGTTGTAGCACACACATGTTTAAAGAAAAATAGAAGTTTGTTCTTTTGTATTTATGAAATACCTCTTCATTACTCTATTTTCTCAAAGTCTTGTCTCACTTCTAAGGGTATTGTTTTTCCTTAATCTTTTAAAAAAATTTATTACAAGTTTTATTTATTTACCACTCATCCCCCTGTGGGTATTTATGATGTCTTTTTCTCCAGCGACTTATCACTTCTAACTAACAAATACAAACCTGAGGCTAGGATCCAGCTCTTTAGAATTCTCTTACAGCTCTACATATGGCATTTTATAAACAACGAGTGCCTAATAAATGTCATAAGCCAGCGGACTCATGACAGAAGTAGTAGTCTGTGGAAAACTTCCCATGGTGATTTGTATACTCATTTTCATTGCATCTGCCTCTTATTACTAACTGATGGGTATGATTTGAGGAATATGAATGTTATTTTGTGACTCCTGGATGGTTACTCTATAAATATAAGTTAATTGAAAAATCCTCTTTAATTCTTTAAGAGAGTAATCAAGGCAGTGATTTCATTTATTAGACTGCTCTGTTTTGGGGTTTTTGAATGGAACCTGTGTCTATTATTATTGTTATTTAATTTTTCAGTGAGGGAGATAAATCTGCAGGACATCAAGGAGGATTTAGAATTGGATCCAGAGGACAACAGCACCCTTTTTATGGGTATCCTCATTAAGGGTCTGGCCAAACTGAAGAAGATCCCAGAAACAGTTAAGGCAATCATAGAGCGCTTGGAGCAGGAGCTGAAGCAAATTGTGAAGAGGTCTACAACCCAGGTGGCAGACAGTGGCTATCAGCGTGGGGAGAACCTTACTGTGGAGAATCAACCAAGGTAGGTGGGAGTGTAGTTTATATTTTTCACAACTCTGGTACATTTCTATGGCGGGGTGTAAGTGACTTAATCTTCTGTTGGTGTTTTCTTGAACTTAGGATACTATAGCCCATATAGGCCAGGTGCAATGGCTAATGCCTGTTATTCTAGCACTTTGGGAGGCTTAGCCTCGTGGATCACTTGAGTTCAGAACTTCGAGACCAGCCTGTATGGGTAGTGAAATCCCGTCTCTACTAAAAATACAAAAATTAGCTGGGCATGTTAGTGTACCCCTGTAAACCCAGCTGCTCAGGAAGCTGTGGCAGGAGAATCGCTTGAATGTGGGAGGTGGAAGTTTCAGTGAGCCGAGATCACACCACTGCACTCCAGCCTGGGTGAAAGAGTGAGACTCCATCTTTTAAAAAAAAAAAAGAATACTATAGCTTATACAGACTTAGATTGGTAAAAACAGCTTGACTAGGCATAATTCAGCTGTCTGTTTTCTCATGTTGTTGAAAAGTTTTAAAACATATTGTCACTGAGTGAAAAATATGGACATATTTATAATAAAGATTGTCGATATTTAGACATACTTAAAGAATAAATAAATTGAATGAAATAATGTAGCAGCTATTGCACACATACTAAATACTAAGCAATGTTCAAGGCAATTTATGTATATTATCTCACTTAATTCTCATCACAACTCTATGGGTTAGTTATTAGTATCCATATATTGCAGTTAGGAGAACTGGAGCTCAGAGATTGACTAATATAGCAAACTCTTAGAACAGGTGGCTTGTCTTGGTGTTGAATATTAGTCCATTTGATTCTAAAATCCATGGTTTTGCCTCTGTCTGATGCTTCCTTCTTTAATGTATAATGATATTTTCCAATAGACAAATCAGTCTCAGGAATTTTTACTGAAAACAATAAGGTTTGAATTGCATAATTCTTGTTTCATATGGAGAGTATTGAAATTGAATTCCGATTCTAACTTTGTGACTATCATATACTAGGAGATCCTGCATGATAAACTAGAAGGAATCATAATCTTGTAGATATGTTGTTAAGGAAATATCTACTGTTACACTTAAGGCTTAAAATATTTTTTTAAATAAGATAAAATTAAGGAGAAATAATAATTCATTTAGTATAGCGTTCTCTAGACTTATTTAAATTTTTTGTAAAATTTAATGTATTCTGTATTTCTGTATTCTTTTGTATATCTAACATTGATTTCATTTAACATTTCAAAAATGATTTCCTTGTTAACTTGATTCGAAAGTGCTATGATTAGTGAAAGGAAATACCCTCTATCCTTCTCCTGCCACAGAATGTTCTAAAGTAAATATTTGGCCAGTTGCGGTGGTTCATGCCTATAATCGCATCACATTGGGAGGCCAAGGTGGGCAGATTGCCTGCGGTCAGGAGTTTGAGATCTGCCTGGCTAACATAGCAAAAGGCCTACTCTACTAAAAATACAAAAATTAGCTGGTTGTGGTGGCACATGCCTGTAGTCTCAGCTACTTGGGAGGCTGAGGCACAAGAATTGCTTAAACTGGGAAGGCGAGTGTTGCAGCGAGCCGAGATCACACCACTACTGCACTCTAGCCTGGTTGACAGAGTGCAACTTCGTCTTAAAAACAAAACAACAACAACAACCCCCCCCCCCAAAAAAAACACAAAGTGCATTTTTAATGGCTTTTGGGACCTGACTTTGTATCACCTGGCTTTGTGATTTTCAAAAAATAATACCTGTCTTACCTAAGAGTTGCTTGCTTTAGATGTGGTTATATGGTTGCGGTGCATGCTTAGTGGACTAGCACCAGTAAGTACTGTAACGTTCATGCATGTTTATTACCAGTGTCTTCCTCAATTCCATGTTCTTTGATCACTTACGTCATGATCCAGAGAAGCTGAAGAATGGTTCTTTGAACTTTGCCTTTTTAATTTGTGTGGTACCTGGATTTTTGCAAAGACCTTTTGACTCCTTACTGATGAATACTCTAAAATTCTGGTTTGCTCTTAGCCCTGTTGCTGCAAGTTCCCAGATGAATACAGTGAACTTTCCTAGGGAAATAACATTACTATAGTATATTTTGGAAATAAAATGAAAGGGCACGGATCAATAGCTTTTCTGCAGATCTCATTATAGTACCTTTAAAAGCACTGTGTCTTTCATAGGATTTTCATCTTTGTTTTTTCACCTTGCCTAAACCCCTTACAGAATTCACGAGTAGAAATTATAGCACTAGAAATATAATAGAAATTCAGCACATTGCCCTGGGAAATACTAAATGTTTCTCTATGAGGAATGAGTCAGCAGCAGGATTTTTTCCCTGTTAAGTTTCTTTTTGTTGTCAGTAGTTTAGAAAGCTTTTGTAGGCAGGATATATTGGACACTAACAAGTGAATGAGCTGTTTGCCTTGGCTTTATGTCTGTAACATAATCCCATTTTGTAAAACATACAAATTCAAGATTTGGGACCCAAACTGTTTATTTCTCATAATAGTGCAGAGAAAGCAAATATTTGGAGTAAACCACTTAGTTAGAAGATCAAAGATTAAATTTTGGGGCTGGGATTCCAAATGAGTGATAATGTTGAGCACAGCTCAAAATTATCAAATGGTGGTTGCGTGCTATCAGATGCTTTAAAACTTTTCAGGAATTCTCTTGAATTAAGCACAGTCATTAAAAAAATGATAAGCATTGTTGCTTCTAGAAGATCGGAATTTTAGTAGTAATATTGTCAAATTATCACTTGAAGCTTGTGGTGCATTGAACTTAGGAAGGTATTAGTGGCATTGATTTCAGAGAGAAGTAAAATCACATTACTTGGCATTATTATTATTGTTTACCATTCAAGGAATTTTATGGCTACAGATTCATGAATTTATTTTTTTAAAGAAAGTTGGAACATAGGCCAAAAAATTCGTGAATTCTTGTTCCCAACATGCATATTTTCCCCCCACCCTCCAGTGAAATAGCCTGTTCCAAAACATTAGCTATTCTGAGACAAGATACTGTAACTTTCCCTAAAAGTTTCATCATCTTATTAAGTATATTCTGGTTGTGATGCATTGCAGGCTTGTTTTCATTTGTTTTTATGTAAAGAGAATCAATGTGTGCTCTTTTGCTAGAAATGTAGAAAAGGAAACAAGCTAGTGAATTCTTTCTTGCTTTTAATTCCTACAGAGTCAGGATACTTTCCCAGCCAGTTTTAAAAAAATCACTTTGGTGACCTACTTATTATTTTATTTTATTTTGTTTTTGATCTCCCAAACTATCTGTTGCCTATTTTTAGGAGAAATATTTTATCTTTTCTGTTCATTCATAATCTTTCAGTGTCTTTAAGCCTCCACTTACTATTAAAGGAAAATATTCAACTACAATTATTGCCAACTTGATAAACATTAGGGTAACATGTGCCTTGCTAATTTACCAGAACCACCTGCTACCCATTATTTCTCTAGAAAGACAGGCAGCATCTTCAGCTTCAGATGGTGACTGTGGCCTGAAGCCTCTGCATTTCAGAATCAGTTTCTTCAACTTCTGCTGCCTAACTGTTGATTCTTTCCCAAAATCTAATTCATGAGTATTTTTATATTATTTCTATTTGAAAGAAGCTGGAAGGAGTTCTGTAATATTTAACAAATAAGAAAAGCATAAGGAAGACATGGAAGAAAAACTTCTCAAAGATGTGATATCTTGTCAAGAATATGGAAGAAAAGAATGTGGAAAAAGAGAAATTGGTATGTGTGAGGCAAATTGGCCTGTTTAAATGTGAAGGCAAAAATTAATTGCAGGAAGAGATGGTGGAGGTCAGCTTCACTTAGAGCTGCTGGTCCTAGAGAGTGCAGAAAGCATTGCGGGAGTTGCAGCCATGGCTGCCCGGGAGGTCCTTCCCTCTTTTGGAAGGAAACCATTTTAAAAGGGTCATTGACCTCTGTTATGAAAAAAGAAGATTAAATGTCAGATGTGAAGAGCAGAGAACTTTGTGTGTTTTGGGCCTGTTGTGATATTAAGAAAGATTCAGGAAAACATGGGTGAGAAATATACTTTAATGCTAAAAGTAGTTGTGTTTGGATAGTAAAGTTGTAGTCTTTGTTTTTTCCTCTCTATTTTGCTCCTTAAGTTATGGTGAAAAAAATTCATTATCAAAAAATTAAATTATTAATCGGGTTATTTTAATCACAAGAAATTATTAGAAAATAAAATGCCTATATGGGTATGAATGCTCATAACTCTAAATTTTAATATAGAAAAATATACCTGTTTTTAGACCAACTGGACAGTGTTCATTAATTGTATTATATATGTGTATCTTTGTATATGTTTGGTTATTTATTGACTGCTTCTAGAAAGCAAGAGAAGAGAGCACTAGTTTGTCTTGTTCAGCACTGGTATATCTCAAGAATCTAGGACAGTGCCTACCTGATCCATAATACATATTTGTTGAATGCAAGGAGAAATTCCACATTTATTAAATATCTGCCATGGACCAGACATTGGTCTAAAATGTCCAGTGAATTAGATGTGGTCCCTGTCCTCATGGATTTTAAAGGAGAAGAAAGGCATGACTCACAGAACCCTAAGATGTGAGAAGAAAGCAGCCAGATTCTTGATACGCCATTTTCATTGTTTTTGCTTACCTCTGTGTTGATTAAATTTTTACTATTGCCAAGTGTGCTTTTCTTAGAGACGATGCCAGTTTTTCATGTCATGAATAATGTTTGAGAGTTCCTATATCCCCTTGCCAACAGATTGTATTATCAAATGCTTTTATCTTTGCCAATCTGAGAGGTGAAAAATGGTGTTTCCAGGGTGGTTTGGATTTGCATTTTTAAGGTTAAACTTCTCTTCTTTTGTATAAAAGTAACTTGTTATGATATCTGGGTTATATTTGGATGTATTGCTTCAAAATAATCTGAGTTGAGAGTGGGTGAAGCTATAGATACAAGAAGCCATGAAATAATACTGAAGCAGGGTGATAGGTACAAGGTGGTTCATTATCCTG